GCATTCGAAAAACATTAACTTGGAGCATTTTTATTAATTCAATAATTCAAATCAGAAATAATAAGTTTTCTAAAATTTATTCTTCATCGCCTTTCTGGTCGTCAATTTTCTGTTGGTCCACTTTAACGGATGCGATCTTCTCGGCATGACTAGTACACCAATTGTTCAATTTCTGGCGGAATGTGTTCTTGAATATGCCAATTCGTCCTTCGGTATCACCCTTGGCACTTGCAATGACTCGATTTTCGAATAAAGCGGAAGGCAAAGTTACATGAATGAGTTTATAAAACTTACATACTTGTGTGACTTCTATATTCCCCTCATGCTTACCATTCGCAGTTTCATAGCCTTTTTTTTCACGAAGCACTTTCAGAAGCGATGCGCGCCCAACCTTTTCTTTCTTCAATTGCTTCAGGATGTAAGATTCCGGAAAGAAAATGGTGAAGAGCCTGTTTATAAATTCACGATTACTCGCTTGTTCACTTGACATAGTATGCAATAAATCAATATTTCGTTTCAATATTTTCACACCATTTGGATACTTCAAGTTGTTCTATACCGACAAATCAAAGAACAAAAGAAAATAAATGGAGAATGAATTAAATTAAAGTTCTATAATATTCACAATTCGAGGAATTTGTTGCGAATGTCATAATTTCTTTCAAATATCTATAGTCGAATAAATTTTACTACGGTAAACCAAACAATCGATTCGATATTCAATTATTATGTAACTTATGTTTAAATGTGTCACTCAAGTGTTATACTAATTTTATTTTGAGACGCTATAGCGTCTAGAATTCCAATTTATAATTGTGGTGTACAGTGTACTCACTCCATCCAAAATTGGCTCCATTTTTTTGGTTGTAGCCGTTTGGTTGGTTTAACCTCTGCCTTGTTAATGTTTTCGGAACAGTGACTTATTGTTTTCTTCTCTTGGTCTTTTTCCATCATTTTTTGTTGTAAATAAACATTCAGCTTTCGCAACTGATCATTTTCTGTTGTCAACTAATCAAAATTGTGATAATTAATCAATGGCTCAACTCAAAATGAATCGGAAAACATACTTTTTCGATAATTGCATCCTTGAAGCACGTATGAACATTGGTCTCCTTTTCCTTTTGTTTGGATTGGCCGGTGTTGAGTGTGCATTAGCTCCAATAAGAATCCAATCACCATCGCCACATGAATATTTGGTATTTGTTGTTGTTTGGCGATTCTTATTAAGTGCAACTTGAATTGACCCAGATGATAATCTGTGAGTCGGAGTAGTCGGTTTGTGTTCCATACAAAATGCTTCGAATTTGATCGAATTATCGTTTGGATTAACATCTTCTTTAAGCGTCTTTTCATCTTGAGCACAAGTTACATGAAACTTATTCTTGCATTTTGCAAAAGAACAGGAAGTGCAAAAACCAGTTTTGTTGTTGCAAAATGAACACAATTTTCCACAAGTAAGAAGGTATTTTCGATAAATTAACGGGTTCCATGGTTTTTTCGTTAGAAAAACTGACACCTTTCATAAAAAGACCGCATATAACATGTACCCAACTTTTACATTCGGTTTGTTTCATCGCACCACCTTTCTTGTGACATAATTTACATTTGGCGGACTTATTCATTGCTAAGCGACATGGTGAACATTTCCAATTAATTGCCAGACCTTCAGCTCCATAACACAACTTATGCACTTTGAGGTCACAGCGTAAACAAATAAAAAGTGGATTTTTCTTTGTAATTTCATCATCACAAATGTTGCACGATGCCATTCTAGCTTTAACTGTATAAAAAGAAATAACCACATGTGTATGGAACAATACTTCAATTATTTTGTTCAGAAAGGTTGATTTGATTTCAAACTTAAATTCTTTATTCAATAAAGTGAATACTCACGGTGAAAGTATGCTGATTTTGTTTTCAAATGATGTTCAACTTATACCACTAAAATACCACTTTACGCTCGAAACACTTGTATCGTCGATTATATCATAGCAATCCTTTTTGCAACGACGACTGCTGTCGGCATGCGTACAAGGCGCGCGAAATGCTTATGGTGAGATGCTTGACGCGCTCAAATCTTGTACACTACATTCGACACACAAACACACAAACAATAATACGTGTGTCAACATTGTCAAATATAATACGTGTGTCAACATTGATTTGAACTCGACCGTTAAAAACACAATTTATGTTCCGTGTGCATGCAAGCTGATCTTTGCCTTCAATAATTAATATATTGCGCTACGTAGCAGACACAAAAGAGCTGTACATATTCTTATGCATCGAATTTTTATCGAAAATATATAAAATAGTGAGTTTTGTTTATATTTATACTAACTTTCGTCTTATTTGAAAAGAATACAAATAAACAATGTAATTTTTTTCAATCAAAACAACCTTTTTTGCATCGCATTGGACATGTCCAATTGATTAAATGTTTTAAATGTGTTGCTCAACGATGAGTTTAGAGACAAATTTCAGTTTTATGTGACTCATTTTGTGTTTTCAGTTTATTTCAGCATCATGGTGCGCGGTAAAAGAGCTCGATATTTTAGTTATTTTCAAGATAATGAACCGAATGCCAAAATTCCAAGGCAAACTAAATTCAATCGTCGAAATCGTGGGAAAAAGCAATTGCATAGTTTCAAATCCACAACGAATATTTCTTCAACGCCTGGTGTAACTGAAAATTTAATGGATTTATCAATTGTGACTAATAACGATTCACAAATTCAAAATGCCACGTCACATAATTTTGAAGAAACATGCTCGTTTATTGATACCTCAGACTCTCAAATGGCAATGAACATGTCGGCCGTGAATGATGAAAGTGTTATAGCAAACGAAAGCATTTGGTCCAACGATTCGGTGTCGCCTATTGAACAATTTAATCATGAAGAAAATGAATTTGAAATGTACCCGGAATATTCAAAAAAAATTCATGATAGTTTGAATTGTACAGTAAGCGATGCATATACCATGATTTACGCATATTCAGTTCGTCATACTCTTAACTGGACTCAAACTGAAGATTTGGCCCGGCTGATTAATTCAGTCATTGGTAAAGAGTCACTCAATCCATCAAAATACACATTTAAAAAAATGTTTAAATCGACTGAAACCAAGACAAGTGTACATTTTTTTTTTGTCATGTATGTGAAAAATATTTAGGTGTTAAGGGACAGTTCAAAGAAACAGTGTGTACAAAATGCGATAGTGACATACACACGGATACAAAATATGAAAAAAATCACTTTGTGTCAATATCCATTGAAAATCATTTAAAAAATGTGCTTGAACAAAATTCACTGCATTTATTGTTCGATACGAAATCCACTTCGGAGGATATATGTGATGTACATGATTCGAAAAATTTTCAGCGATTGAAACGTGAAATGGGAGATGATCCTTACATAACATTGACATTATATACGGATGGTGCTGCTGTATTTAAGTCCACAAAAAATAAATCACTTTGGCCTATTTGCCTTTATGTTCATGAAATCGATCTTAATTACCGTTTCAAGCGAGAGAATATTTTATGTTCTGCAATATCTTTCGGAAAAAAACCGAATATGCAAGTGTTTTTCAGACCATTGATTGAAGAAATAAATGCAATAAATCGTAGAGGTGGAATAAATGTTCGTGATAAAAATGAACAGTTAAGAGTAGTTAAAGTGGTTCCGATGATATTCACCGCTGATGCATTAGCTAAGGCTGATGTTTTAAATTTAATGCAACACAATGGCCATTATGGTTGTCCATATTGTTTGCATTGTGGAACAAATATAGAAGGAACAACACAAATCCGGTATTGTAAGAGAAACAATGCACCTGACAGAAAAAGCAATGTTGTAAGAGTGGACATGGTTCGCGCTCACGAATTGGGAACATGTATCAACGGATACAAAGGTCTTTCACCTCTCCTTGCACTCAATTATAACTTCGATATTGTTTGGCAAGTAGTCATCGATAAGATGCATTGTGTAGACATGGGCGTAATCAAGAAAATGTTTGACATGTTTTTGAACTTCAAATATCGCGAAGAAAGGTATGCGTTGTGCATATAAAAGGATTATTTTGGATCACTTCAATTAATAAATTTTATTTCGTTTTTTTATCGGTGATCGATTACATATTCTAGATAGAAGAATGAAAGAAATTCGAATGCCTCGACTGATAAGGAGAAATTTTCGACCACTTTCACATCGCGAGTATTTTCATGCTTATGAGTGGAAATTTATTTTACTCTTTGTTGCCTACCCTCTTTTGAAGGGAGTGCTACCTGATCGGTACTCTATTTTATTATTTACAATTTGTTTTTTAATAGCTCAGTATACAACAGTTTCTTATAAAACTGATTTGGTATTTGTTCAGAGCATCCATACTGATTGAGATACTGTTTTTTTTAAATTTATTCAAGGAATTTTGAACACTTGGGGAAATTAGTTGACGCTATGCATATTCTGAACAGCACACGCATAAGTGAACGGAAAAGAAAGAAGGCAACTAAACTATTAAATTCATTCGTTGACGAATTCGAAGATCTCTATGGAGAAATAAATATGGTTTACAATGTTCATCAGCTCAAACACTTGACTGAATGTGTGAACCGAAATGGACCACTCTTTGCATACTCAAATTACCCAATGGAAGATTTCATAGGTCATTTAGTATCTTTCGTAAAAGCGCCAACAGATGTAACAACTCAAGTTAGCTCACGATACATTTTGGAAAAAAATTTGCTTGTTCACTTACACAAATCAGAAAAAGCGCGCGATTTTTATGATAAAATTGAAAGTAAATTATCTTCTCCCATTGTTCGAAAAGTAAATGAGTCGTTAGCTATTGGCAAAGCAAAAGTATTGTCGGATTTGAGCGTTCAAGAAATGTCATTCATTAGAAACTTTTTGAGAATCGATGAATCCAGTGTGTCCATAACATATAGAAATAGCACTAAATAGTGTCGATATCTATACTATATCGGGGCACTATATATGTAAGATATTCCGCAAGACACCGTAGCTCACGAACGAAGTGAGTGCGGACAGCAAACATGTTGACGCATACACACAGTTTATTCTACTGCCGCACGGAAATTTGTGATTTTTTCCGTCTACACTGACTTCGATCGTGCGATACGGTGCCGTGCGGCAATATCTTTCATATATAGTGGACCGATATAGTATAGATATCGACACTATTTAGTGATATTTCTATATATTATGGACACACTGGATGAATCCATTCAAATTTATGAGTATAGTGCATCCTTTTTATGTAATCAAACGTATTATGAGACTTCTTCTAATAATTTACGTAAGCGTACTAATGATTCAATTTTATTTAATGCCGGCAGTAATTGTTTTGCTGAAATTAGAGCTATTGTAGTAGTTGATGACCAATTATATTTTTTAATTGACGAAAAATTTTCAAAAGTTCCA